ACCTTGGCACCGTCGCAGATCACCGCTCGGCAGTCGCCTAGGTTCACAAACAAAAGCTCCTTCTCTTGGAGAAGCGCAACACATGCCACCGTCCCGGAGGATGTGCCCGACGGTGACAAACTGGCCTCGTCAGCCAGTTCTTGATACATGCACCCCTCTGCTGCCTCGAAAGCCTCGATGATGGCATTCTCCTTGTCGGTCGCAAGCCGAAGATGGTGATCCAGCTTCTGTGGGAGCACTTCCTTTGCGAGCTTGGCAGCCTTGTCCCCACCGTGGCCGTCGAAGACAGCAACGCACGTGTGTCCCGCAACATCGCTGTGAACTGCAACTGCATCTTCCATTTTTGCTCTATCATGCTTGGCTAGGGCAAACCCACANNACACTTGGCACTGCCTCCGCTGCCATACTCTGGCAAGCCTTCCGGCCCCTTGGCCCTGACGCCGCAGCAGTCGCAGAAGTTTCCCATGGCTGTGCGTCCGGGAATCCTATGGACGCTGTTCGATAAATCCAGATCTACGAGCCAGACGGAAAAAGGGGGGAGAGATGGGGACAAGAGAGAGAGACAGGGAAAATGCAGAGAGGGAGCCGTGAAGTGAGAGCCGTGAGCCGTGAATACCAGCATTTCTGCAACCTCCAGGTTCCCTGCGCGCCGCAGCGAGCGCCGCAGCTGCGCCAACTTCCTCGGGTTGCTCTCCACTCCGAAGACATGGGAGTTTTAGACCGTAAGTGACCCGAAAGTCGAAGCGCACCTAGTGCAGACCCTTTACTCTTCGGAAACCTCCACTGTGAAACTGTGGATTCAAGCCTTGTGCCAGCCAAGCTTCGACAAGAGCTGTCCAGATCGTCGCAGCACCGTCGCCCTGGCCTTCATCACATGCAACGAGTGTCTGCATGTCTCTTCCTACATACGCTGCACATATACACACACATCTACGCACGCATATACACATGTACTAGTTAGTTGTTATGATAGTATGTGACTATATAACCTGAGACGGGGTCTGCGAAGGAAAGCGATCGCGCGAGTCTACATGGCATATGATAGCCCTATGATGCATAAGACAAGCGGGCCGACGAAAGACCAAGAAGCGGAAGACACAGCGTGCAGAGCGGATGACGTGCAGGTCAAATGCAGCACACCACAAAAGCACAAACAACTCGACTGCCGAAGCTGCAGTCCAAAGAACGGGCGAGGAAGCTTTCATCCAAAAGCGCCTGGATCCAGCATCATGAGCATCAGAAGGGATCCTCTTCGCTTGAAACGTGCCCGCCAAAAAAATGCCCCAACTCATGCTGCGGCGTCCCCTCTCCCCAGAGAGGGAGCTTTCGTAATTCCATTCGGCGTAATGATTTCTGTATCACTGCGAAAACAGGTACATACAATCATACCTTAAACTACCAAACCCTACTTTTTTGTAGGTTCCTATTATAAACCCTAATATGGAATTTATAGGGACCCTACAAAAAAGTAGGTTTTGGTAGGTTAAGGTATGTCTACGACATGTGCGAAAATGAGGAGCATGTCGAGGCTGAATCCACGCGACCGGCCTCAATGAAGGGGACCTCCGGCCAGGAAAAGCGCCAGGCGTGGACGTAACGGCCCACGTCATGGGGTGACTCCAGGTCTCGGCGACATGGGGGCATCTTACGGGGAGGCGTGATGCTTTGGAAATAGGGAGTCTCTGTCCGGTTTGGGGATCTACTGTCTATATTTTTCGGCTCTGACTCGCCATGCCCCACTCAGTGGGGCCCACTGATGTCACTGCCCTATGCTCCCCTGCGAGGCCCCGGAATCCGCAAAAGAAGCGAGACCGAAAGTGCATCTCAGCTCCCTGCTGCGATTCCTGCGGTCCTCTGCTATAACACATGTCCGCAACTGCGGATAGAGCCCACAGGTGCTTGCAAAAAGTGAATGAAGATCTGGGGGAAACTTTACAAAGACTTGAAAGGCTGAGTTGAACATGCCGCACCAGTCCGTCAGCGCTGAAGGCATGGCAGCGGCTAGCATAACTGCTGCCTGTGGCATCGCGGATCAAACCGGATGACCGTCAACGTTAACGAGTTTCATTTATAGGGCTCCTACAGTACATGTCCAACTTCTCACGAGCGGTTCTCCTGACCTCGTCCCAGCGCTGGTTACTGATAACGTGATGATCTGCTTCCCAGCCGCAAATTGCCCCAGAGAAAAGTCCTGAAATCTCACTACCTCCCAAGACCATGTGGGAGAGAATTAACAAGCAATATCTGCTTTCATAAACAAATACACAGGCTATATACGTACAGGATGCCGAATATCCAAACAGATAAATACAAGTAGACCACAAAAGAGAGGCAGAGAGAATGAGGTATGGATGAGGACGTGCACATGCATATCTACACACGCACAGCTCTGTATACTGTATATACACACATATAGATATTATATATATATATATATATGCATGTAAAAACATACACACGTATGCATGAGCACAAATGTGTGACAGCCTTCACATTTCACCTTGGCATAATTTGTCCCCGGATGCTTGCAGAATTAGCACGGCGTCTGGCTTGCAAATATCTGTTAAAGACATACTTAGACTTACCTGTGCATATTTAAGTTATTCTATCTATTTAATTACTTGCTCATATATACCCATACTAGCTGTTAACATGCTAGTACCAACATACATAGCGAACTACACACCGCATTGAACTGATTTTTCGAAAACAAGCTCTGTGCTAAACGGCGTAAGCCAAAACTACTACTGCGGTGCATATGCCCTTTTTTGGTCGAAGCGCAGGAAATGCGCCCGGCCAGGCGTACCGTCGCAAAATCCGGTGCCGGTGCCGGGGTGCGCAATTCTGCGCCCGCCCCGGGCACCGTCCGGTGGACGGTC